CCCCGTGTGAGCTTGCATGTCGTAAGTTTCATGTGACCCTCCAAGGACGGAGCTACGGACGATACCAGCGTGAATCGACCGGCGTGTCACAAACTCTTTTCCTTGGAGGGGACTCTTGCCATTCAAAAGCCGTCGTCGTAAGACTGATACGCAGTGTTGTATCGCTGTAAGCTGGGATTTGTTTATCCAGCGCAGCTTATTCTACATGGTGGACAATTAACAGCGTGAGCATGGCCATGGTGGCTCTGGAGTCGGCGCTGATTTCATTGAAGGTCTTGCTTTTGCCTCTCTCCGACCGAGACTTCTCACAGGAGATACTGGTGTAGCGTAGCCCCTCACGACCGTGAATATTGCCCGACTGTCCAAAGGCATCTTGTGTTGTCCACGGTATGAATTGCCGAGGCTCCGAAGCAGGCATTGCCGCACTACAGAGGTAGCGTACATCTAAAATAGACGAGGCACCGAAGCGGGCACCGAGACAACGTGTACGGGGAAGGTTCCGACTATCTGTGGGACAAAGCAACACGGCAAGGTTTTACAGTCTACGCGGGCGTTTCGCAACACCGATACGGAACGCGCCACCGCTTAGGAACCGCTTATTTAGCGTGAGGCTCGACGCTTGTTGGTTGCTTCCAACCGAGCGCATGTTCCTATTTGCCAAGTTCTTATTTGGAGCAGGCACCCACCTATGATAAACGGGGTTCTTGTCCCTATTTCTATGTAAACCGATTGCCCCATGCAGAGGACACAGCTGGGTGGATTTCATCATAAGACATTACTGATGCAAGTGTACAATAAAGTCGTATAATGCCCCCCTAGACGGCAGTACCTCATGTATGTATGTACGGCTTGGGAGAGGAGAGGTTGCCGAGAACAGCTTAGGAGGCGAAGTGGGCAAAAAATAAGAATGGGTGTACCAACCTACGGAATGGGTTAATGTTGTAGATGGCGCATGGAAGGGGTTCAAAATTGACGAAGGCGATACACGGGAAACGCAAGGTCTAGAGGGTTCAAGGGGGAGATATATGTTGCTTGTGCCGAGAGAGAAGAACATAATCAAACCAAAGAAACCAAGGCTAATGAGGGTCTGCATGTGCCCGGAATGTTATAAGGAATAGATTTAAGGGTACCTTCTTCATGAACCAATGGATGTAGGGACAAAGCTGAAAGTCAAATTCAAGACTGGAGACGTTGGCCTTCGAGAACGTAGGCGAAGATTTGGGAAGGTAGACGATGAAGACGACAATCTACATGCGAATGCGGCTCCGAGTGCGAATACCATGTTCATGTAGTTGTTGCGGAATGTCCGTTGTACAAGAAGAGGGAGGCGCACATGAGTGAGCTGGGAAAAGTACAAGGAAAAGGTACGAGGCATGTTTGAGGTATATGATAGTCGGGAGAAGGCGGTAGCTGGACTGGGGCATAAGGAATGGACTGAAACGATGGGAATTAATATCGATAGGATAGATAGGCTAGGGAAAACATTTTTGAGCCACCTTTTTGGCAAATAGGATCGAACGATTGGCCATCGGTGATCGGTCCTGTGGGAACAATGCTGCGTCCTGTCGAGGACGCGTGGTCAGTGGCCTAACCGCTAAGGCAACCAAAGGATGAGAGAGAGAGAGAGAGAGAGAGAGAGAGAGAGAGAGAGAGAGAGAGATAGAGAGAGAGAGAGTACGTCCCTCCTTCGGATCCAACTCCTACGATCGGGAAGAGGCGTAAGGAAGCTAAATGGCAAAAACTACCGTATGGTGTACGATATGGGAAATTAGAGGTTGCCGAGAGACGCTCGGGAGGCGAAGAGGACCAACAAGAATAGGGGTTGCAACCCAGGGAGTGGATTAAGGTTGGTTATAGATGACGTATGGAGTAGTTCAAAATCGATGAGGTTGATACATTGGCAACGAGCGGTAGGTCTATCGGGGTTCGAGAACAAGAAATCTGCTACTTCTGCCGACAGCAAACACAATCCAACAAAAGGATCCAAGGATAAGGAGGTTCTAGATGTGTGCGGGTGTTGAAAGAAGTAATAGGTACGTACATGGACCAATGAATGAAGGCGTACATGGACCAATGGATGAAGGGAACAAGCCGAAGGTCAAAACCAGGACCGGGGATAACGGCCTTAGAGAACGTTGACGAAGATTCGGGAAGGAAGACAGGGAAGGAAGACACTGAAGACGACAAGTTCAAACGTGCATGCGGCTTCGACTGCGAAGACCGGATTCATGTCGTTGCGAAACGTCCGGGTTGGGCAAGGGTAGAGAAATGTACATGACTGAGTTGGACACGTAGAAGGAAAGGTTCAGGGATATGCGTAAGGCATGGAAATAGCCAGGAGAAGACGGTAGTCGTTGCAACGGCTCTCTGGAGATCGAAAATAAAGCCACTTCCAGGGACTTCCCCCAGAATGTGAAAGCAGCGTTCATGAAAGGGTTCTGTTTCTTCAAAGCTGCCACGTCATACGCTTGCGGTGCCCAACGGGACTTAGGCAATACCACGAAGGGTACGTCCTGCGCAAGCTGGTTGGCGCCACATGCAAGCATGACGGTCGTCGTCCATTGGCCAATGCGGTAAAGGAGATGTTAAGCTTGTGGGAATCTCGTCGGAGCAACCTTGCACTGTGTTTTCATGTCGTCATACACAGCGAGGCACGTTGATTGTGGCTACGTATGATGGCCAGCGCCTCTATCGTACGTCGTGCTAGTCCTCTCTTGTGCTCTCAAGTGCAACGTCCTAAGACCTTGGTGTGTTCTTCGTCGTTGCCCTCCGGGAGGTACCCGACACCACCCCGGTTTCTCGATGATTTTTTGTGCATCACACCCGCAGCAAAATTCAGATGGGGTCCATGGAAGGGGGCGTTAGCTGCGCTTGGTCCGAACAGTTGCACACAATTGACGGGCTCATTCTGCAAGGGCGACATCAAACGATATCTTCAACATGGCTGCTGTAGTCTCCTGCAGCCAAGGTATTTACGGGTGGGGTTTTCTCCCGCTGTATGGAGTACTGTTGTACCGGAGATAAGTGTTATTTTTTCGACCTGGCAATTTTCGGGGCGCTGCGCAAACCGGTTGGGGTACTCGCCGCAATCGAACACGTGCGTGAAGTCAACAAGACCATGAATACCCAGCTTCTAGCCTGTGGTGGACGTGGATGGACGTCCTGATGTTGATGGAAAACCCGGAGATACCACACTAAGCAATGGAACGGGGAAAGAGTTGTCCGATGCCTCGGCCAGCAGACAAAGACATCTAAAGCACACCAATCGGCCTGGGTGTACAATAAATAGCTGGAAGGGCAGCACCACAAGGGCAAGAAATCGACGCACAATACGTCTGCGTGGGAAGGAGGTGCACGAATGTGTGCAAGAGCTCGGAGAGGTGGGAGCTATACATAAGAATCGTGACAGGAGCTTCTCCGCCGCTCAGTGCCACACGACTTCGAATGTAGGCGCCATTGCGGCGTAGAAAGGAGAGGGTTTACTGATGAGTTCGGCCGCGCGACGGCGTGATGGAGTGGAGAGCAAGGGCCGAGGGCAAAGGGTGGGGGCAGCGAGAAGCAACGATGGGGGCAACCACACAGCTGGAATGGAACACGAATGAGGGGAAAGGAAATGGTGAAGGGCCATGCATGGGTGGACGCGAGAGTGCATGCTGGGAGAATGGTCGGACACGACTATAATAGTAGGAACGGAGCCACTGAGGCGTGGGTTGGGAGGCAAGGAATCGATTCCACCGGGACCTCAACGGGACGCGGGATGGCATGGCGGGAGAAGAGTTTGGGATGGGTTCGAGTGGCGAGGACGGATTGCCTGCCGTTGAGGTGAGTTTGGAGCCAAGGAATCAGTTTAGCCATGCGGTTAGTGGTGCACGAGATACCATGGTGCACATGTATGAAGAGGTTGGTAGCGGTAGGAACGATTCCACGCAGAAGCGTGTGAGGGAATCTTGAGTTGGCTAGGCGGAAGGGATTGATTCAGCCATATGTTTGGCGGGACACGATACGGCTTGGTGGGAGGAGTGTCGGGGAAGGGTAGGGGCACGGGACGAACGATCCGCCGCTGGAAAGTGTGAATGAATCTCGCGTTGGTTGGGAGGCCAGGAATCTGTGGAACCACGAGCTCCGTTGGACGATAGACAGTATAGCGGGAGAAGGGTCGGGACATGGGCTGTTGTAGCGATCAGACGTGTCGTGCAAGAAATTGTGATTGACAAGGCATGGGATGGGAGGCAAGGAATAGATGAAGCAAGGGTTTGGCCAGACGTGAGATGGTGTGGCGGGAGAAGGGTCGGGGCAGGGATTATGATACTGGAGGAATGACGCCACACAGGATGTGTTCGTGAATGCCGCGTTGGTTGGCAGGCAAGGAGTCGGTGTAGCCAGGAGTGTGGCGGCACGCGAGATGGCATGTCGGGGATGAGATTGCGGTGTCGAGGATGGGTGGCTATGACAAATAGTGAACAAAGAGCCCAAGTGGGCATGATGCCGTGTAGCTAGGAGATCAGATGGACTCGAGATTGCATGACGGGAGAAGGGTCGGGGAACGGGTTAGGTAGTGATGCCTCGTAGGAAAGTGTACGTGAATGCCACGTTGCTTGAGAGGCCAAGAACCTACGTATGTAGCCAGAGCGTTGACTGAACGCGAGATGGAAAGACGGGGGAAGGGATTGGTTAGGAGAGGAGCAATGTCAAGGAGGCGACATAGCATGAACAAGGCCTCGGTCGAAAGGCAAGGAACCGGTGGGCAACGAGCTCGAACGAGCATGTGATGGCATGGCGGGATACGGTCGTCTAGTCCAATGGTTAGGATAAATTGCTCTCCACCTCTGCACGGCACAATCGGTGCCTCTAGGCAAGTCTCACCCCGAAGTTTTTTTTTTTTAGGTAGGGTAGGAGTGACGATTGGAGTAGAGTCTGCTGCGTCTGCTTCGTCTTTGCTGAGTGTGTTATCTAGTGACGGACCGCCTGGTAGCGAGATATGGGTAGCTGACCAGGAACCAGCAACATGTTTACCAACAGCAGCCTGCACATGTACGACCTGCAAGAGATCCCCGCCAGTAGGAAGTATGTCGTTGTAGTTGATGGTCGACTGCTCGAAGTGCAAGCTATCGGTAGCATCAATCTTAGTTTCTTTCGGGAGGATGAGAATGGTGACAAAACGACGATGTGCGTGAAGCTCACTGATGTGTCTGTTGTAGAGAGCCTGAGCTTCAACTTGTTTTCAACGCATGCTGTTTCTCTGAAGCAACAAATCATGTACGACGAGCACGGTGCAACCCTACAAAATGGACTGCCCTTTGCTAGAGAGGAAAAAGGGTCTGCAGCGTATGCCATGCGGTTGCCGTACGACCCACCNCGACTGCTCGAAGTGCAAGCTATCGGTAGCATCAATCTTAGTTTCTTTCGGGAGGATGAGAATGGTGACAAAACGACGATGTGCGTGAAGCTCACTGATGTGTCTGTTGTAGAGAGCCTGAGCTTCAACTTGTTTTCAACGCATGCTGTTTCTCTGAAGCAACAAATCATGTACGACGAGCACGGTGCAACCCTACAAAATGGACTGCCCTTTGCTAGAGAGGAAAAAGGGTCTGCAGCGTATGCCATGCGGTTGCCGTACGACCCACCTGCGACAATAGTAGACTCTGCTGCTTTGCCCGCATTCGTGACTGCCCCCGATTCCGCCCCCGCCGTTGGCTCCACGCGTTCGCCTTCTCAAGAAGGGGGCTCCGCGGAATCATTGGTGTCCGTGTTGCGTGTTCCTCCCGCTGGCAGTGCTAGCGTAGTACCTTCGGCTGACAGCGTCCAGCCTACTGGTCCCACCAGTGCAGTACCTGCGAGTGAGAGCGTCCCGCCCGCCGGCTCTGCCGACGTAGTACCTTCCTCGGCGTCCGAGTTTGTGTGTGTGGGTACTTTTCAGGGTATGGATCTTGGAGATACGAGTGTGCTCACCGACGAGCAGCTCATGGATGGCTATGATGACACCCCGTATCAAGATTTTTTCCCCGTGTTTATCCCAGAGTGACGCTGCGAATGTGGCTGGTGTTTTGGATAGCATTGACGGCGGGGCTGATTTTGACTTGGGTGCGGCCGCGCTTGGCCCTCGTGCGTCCCCGTTTGCTCTTGGTTCGACTGAAAAGTCCGTTGACATCAACCGCTTCCACCGCTCCCTTGACCCCGCTTGCAAGCCTCTTTTGAGAGAAACTGCAGCAGAGAGGCATCGTGCTCACGGGCAAGCTGGAACCGTGCATGGACTGCATGAGGGCGAAGGGCAGGCGAGGGTCGGTGCCGCGGGGGCCGGGAGCGCGGGCGTTCAAGCCACTCCGGCGTGTTCATCTGAGCCTGTGTGGACCGCTGGTGCCTTCCCTGGGCGGCAACCTCTACCTGTTCGTCGCCGTGGACAGCGCCTCGCAGTGGAACAAGGTCTACGTTCTCCGGCGGAAGTCCGACGCGCTGGCGACAACGAAAAGGCTGCTGACGGACGTGGGGCGATACGACCTCGGGCGCATCGAGTGTTTCCACGTCGACAACGGCACCGAGTGGACCCGCGGCGACTTTCGGCGTTTCTGCGAAGACAACGGCATCGGCATCGAGTTCACCCCGTCTGGCGTCCCGCAGCACAACGGCGTCGTCGAAAGCGCCATCTGGGGCATCATAAAGGCCGGCATGGCCGCCCGCCGCAGCGCTGGCCGGGTGTTCAACGTCGACTTCGCCTTCATCCCCGGCCTCGACGAGCGCGGTGACCGTCTTTGGATGGAAACGGCGAAATGGGCCGGCGACGCTCTCAACCAGTCGGCGACCAAGGCCAACCCCGGGCGGCGCTCGTCGCACGACATGTTCACCGGCGAGCAGGGGCCGTTCCGCGTGCTGCCGTTCTTCCAGCCCGGCTTCATGCGTGAGGATCGCCGCACCAAGCTCGACGACTAGGCCACCCTCTGCTACTACCTGAACGGCGGCGATAACCACCCAAGCGGCACCGTCAAGGTCATCAAGGCGTCCACCGGCGGCGTCGTCTACACCAACAACGTGTCGTGGGTGACGTCGGCGCCAGCCGGCGAGGGGGGTTCCGCTGGTATCACCGCTGCGCCGACAGCCCCCCCCGTTCACGCCGCAGGCCGTCTCGATCAACTTTGGCCCAGCACCGACGCCTTCGACCGCCGCACCGCCGCCGCCAGCGACCACGCCGCCGCCCGCTCCAACGCCTTCACAGCCGCCCTCTGCCACTTCGTCGTCACCGTCGGCGACCTCCGCTCTTGGCCAGCCGTCCTCTGCCGCTTCGCCGTCACCGTCGGCGACCCCCGATAGACCAGCCGCCGCCGCGACCGGATCCCGCGATGCCCCCGCTTACGGCTGACGTCATGCGGCAGCTTCGCCCGGGTACAAAGGCCGAGGGTATGACAGACCCGCGGCTGCCAAGCCGTACGAGATCGGGCACGAGGCACAGCACAGGACTCATCTCGATGCTAGACAGGAACACTCTGGTGTCGATGCTGGAGGCTCGGAGCGCGGTGGATGAGGAGCACAGAGAGCCGGGGGGAGCGGGGGCCGGAGAGCAGGCGGAAGCACTATCAGCGGTGGACCCGGAGGAGCGGGCTTTCCACTCGCAATTGCCACGCTCCTCGCCAACCGGGAAGACATCGACGCCACGCTGCGAGACCAGCGCCCGCCGGAGCAACGCCCTGACCTTCCGCACTGCCAGGCCAGCGAACTTCGTGCTCCAAAAAGCTACAAAGAGGTCATGGCGGGGTGCAGCAATCCCGTCCTGGGCGTTACTTGGGGCACTGGGTAGTCGGCCGTGTTAGGCCGAGAGAGAGAGGTTGAGAGAGAGGTGGAGAGAGAGGTGGAGAAGGAAACTTGATTGGAGAGAGACGGCGGTAGCGGTGGAGAGAGCGAAAGCAGTGCGCTNATCTCCTTGGGATCCTCACGACCAGATACTGCTGCGAGTATATCTAACAGTCGGAGAAGGAGCTTAGTCTGACAACGGATACTACGAAGGTGAGAGTGAGTGAACAATAGTTGGCTTGACGCCAAAGAACCGATTGATCCAGGAGATCGACTGTTCGCGAGATAGCATTGTCGGGCATGTGGTTGGATACAGGAGGAGCGATGCCTCACAGACATGTGTGAGTGAACTGTCTACATGTATTTACTAGGGGCCATGAATGGACACGAGATGGCAAGGCGGTAAAAGGGTTGGGGTTAAGGATGTCCACGGGATGAGCGATGCCAGGCAGGAAAGTGCGAGTGAACACCGCGTTGGTTGGGAGGTAAGGAGTCGGTGTAACCCGAGCCTAGAATGGGGCGGGAATCGGCATTTCGGGAGTAGTGTCGAAGTAAGGGCTGCACTAGCGACCACGGATGCCACGAAAGAAAGTGATAGTGACTTTGCAATGCATGGGTTGGGAGGCAAGGAAAAGGTGAATTCAGGTCGTCGACAAGAAGTGAGGTGGCGTAGCGGGAGCAGGGTTGAGGGCTGCTTTGGCGAAGATGAAAGCGGCGAAAGTGACAGGTAGTGGGCAAAGCGTTGTAGTAATGCAAGGCATGGTTTCAGTAAGACCTGAAGCCCCACCAGACGTGAGACGGCATGGCGGGAGAAAGGTCGAGGAAGGGAGTGGTTCCAGGACGAGCGATGACGAGCACGAAAGTGCGAGAGAATATTGCGTTGGGTGGGGGGTATACTAATATTCGTGCATACCGTACAGTAGTAGCGGTTAGAGCTTTGGCCTTGAATCTATACGAAGCCGGGACAAATCACGCCAAGTGTTCTCACCGGACCAGGCTCTCACATCACCAAGCGCGAAGCGCCGTGAGGTATTCGGCGAGTCGCATGAAAGGTGCGCTGCATCCTGCTAAGGGTATTCGGCATCTTGCGATTATTTCGTTGCAACGGATGACACCTGCGAACGACTTACTATTCCGAGAGACAGTTAGAAGCACCATGTACCCTCCTCGAGGGTGCTTGACGAAATTAACACAACGTGGTGCGATTGTCCCCTTTGCGTGGATTGAGCGTTCTCGACCCCGCACAACATAACATACGTGACCACCGTTATGGTTGGCATGCATGGAATTGGAGATGGCATGTTGGCAGAGGCGCATGGAGCGGGATGGACTGGCGAGCACGGACGCCACACAAATGAGAATTTGTGTACATGACCAACGTTTGATAGCAAAAAGTCAGTGTATCCAGGAGGTCAGACTGGCCCGAGGTGGCATGACAGGAGACGTGTCGTTGGAAGCGCTGAACCGGCGAGCACGGATGCTACGAAGGGTGAGCGAACACGTGTTTGCTGGGAGGGTTTGAGTCGCCCCAGCCAGGACCTCGAATGGATGAGAGATGGCATGGCCCGAGAAGGGTGAGGGATGGGTCTAGATACTTGAGGAGCGATGCCACGGAGGTGAGAGGAAGTTCGCAAAGCCTGGGGTGGGAGGCAAGAATTCCGCTACAGTAGCCAGGGCCTGGAGTTGACGCGGGAGAGCACGCCGGGAGAGTTGTGGGGGAAGCGACTCGATTGGTGAGCACGGATGCCACGGGAGCTGAGAGAGAATGAACAACCCGTGTGGTGAGAGGCAAGGAATCGGTTTAGCCAGGGGCTCGGCTCACGCGATATGTCATGGGGAAGGGATGGTCGAAGAAGGGGCTGGATGACCGAGGAGGACATTGGGTGAGAGTGAGCTGTAAGGCGAGGAATCGGTGTATCTAGGAGCATCGCTGGCCATAAGTAGGCATCCCGGGTTGGTTACAGGAGGGGCGATGCCACACAGGACAGTGTGAAGGAATACCGAGGCTTGAAGGGGTGGAATTGGCGCGCCAGGGGCTTGTTTGTCGGCAGATAGGATGGGGATCGAAGCGTCGGGAACTGCTGGATTGGGGAGGACGCATGCCGTTGAGGTGTATGCGAGTGAATGTTAGTTGTATGGGAGGCAAAGAACAAGCTCGGCCATGCGTTTGGTGGAACGCGGGATGTTGTGGTTGGGGCGTCGTCGAGAACAGATTAGGTTATTTGAGGAGCGATGCTACGTTGAGACGTGTGGGAGTGAATTGTGAGTTGGTTGGAGGTCAACGAATTGCTTTGCCATGCTCTTCGCCGGACGCGATACGACAATGGGGGGAGTACCGTCGGGGAAGGGTTGTTCTGGCTTTTGGGGGGCCATCCGACGCAGAAATAGTTAGTGAACAAGCCGTGGGTTGGAAGACTGTAGGAATCGATGAAGCCTGGGCCTTGGCCAGACGTGAGATAGCGTGGCGGGAGTAGGGTCGGGGCAGGGGTTAGATACTGGAGGAATGATGCCACACAGGAAGGTGTGATTGAATACCGCTCTGATTGGGGACGAGACATCTACATCATTTTGCTAGAGCCTTGAATGCACCCCAGATGTCAAGATGGGAGCGAGGTCGGGAACGGCGGTTGTTTTGGGGAGGATTGGCGCCACGAAAAGTGAAAATGAGGAAACAATGCGTGGGTTGAAAAGGCAAGGAATCGATGGGCCATGAGCTCGGACGAACGCGAGATGGCATGGCAGGAGACGATCGGAGGAACGGCTTAAGGTCGAGAACGGGTGTTACGAAGGTGAGAGTTAGTGAGCAATTGGAGACTGAGAGGCACGCGATGGGATTGTTCAGGAGCTCGGGTGGTCACAAGATAACGTATTGCGGTGGCATGGTGGCGGGATCGATGCCTACGGGACAAACCTGCCAGGCAGTAAATCAGGGGTGAATGCCGCATTGGCAAGGATGCAAGGAATCGGTCAAGCAAGGGCCTTAAACATACGCGGGAAGGTAAAGCGGTGGAATGATAGGGGAAAGGGTTCATTTCGGACAGCCATCGCCAGGCGGGAAAGGAAAGTGTGAGCGAAACCGGGTTGGTTGGAAAGTCAAGGAACTTGTGTAGTATGGGCCATGGATGGACGAGAGATGGTGTGGCGAGAGCAGCGTCGAAGAAAGAGCCACATTGGTGAGGACGGGCGCCACGGAAATGCGAGTGAGTGAGCAACGAGTGTGGTGGAGGGAAAATGCCGTTTGGCCCTGCAGCTTCGCTAGACGTGCCATGGCATGGCGGGAGAAGGGTCGTGGAAGGGAGTGGGTATGGGATGAGCGATGCCACGCAGGAACGTGTGATTGAATGTGATCTTGGCTGGGCTACACAGAAGCGGTTAAGGCAGGGCCTCGATTGGAGATGAGATTGCGTGGCCAGAGGCGGGCAGGTCTTGATTAAGGGGCGAGCGATGTCATGCAGATATGTGTGAGTGAAATCCGCGTTCGTTGGTCGACAAGAAGTAGGAGAAGCCGAACGTGTGGCGGGAATCGAGATGGGACACATGGGGAACGAGATATGCCACCTCAGGAACGTGCGTGCGAAGGCAACGTTGGTTGGGAGACAGGGTCTCCAAGGAGCCAGTAGTTTGATCGGACGGCAGAATGTCGTACATGTAGTACTGTGGAAGTGGGGTCGGGAAAGGGGTCATTCTGGCGACGAGTGATGCCACACAGGATAGTGTGAGTGTGCTACGAGTGTGTTGGGAGGTACGGAAACGATGAAGCCAGGCCCTAGACCAGACCCGATGTGGCACGCGGGACACGGGTCGGGGTTGGTTTCTGGAGGGGTGATCCAGGAAAATGAGAGTGACTTTGGCGTTGGTTTGGAGGCATTGAAACGGTGAAGCCAGCAGTATGGCGGGACGGAGATGCCATGACAGGAGGTAAGGGGGCGGGAATGTAATATCGAGGGTGAATGATAACGAGACATTGTTGACACTCTTGGATTCGGTATGACTTCGAGGATCGCGGTAGTACGAAACACCGCCCGTGTAGATTGACCGCGTTCGGGCAGACGCGGCGCTGCTTAACTCTACCTCAAGAACCCCCTACCCTTGCTTGACGGCGGTCGACCTTGGAATGGTAGTGCGCTGCCTGAGAGGCAAGGAAC